CACCTCTTTTAGCCCGCTCACTAACCGCTAGTAACAGAAACGGGGAAATTACTTCCCACTCACCGATGCTAAATTGCAAATAATCCCCCCAATCCCCACCGGCGATCGCCCGTCGCCAAGCTGTCTCATCGAGGATCGTGGTGAGGGATTTTCTCCCAGTGCGGTCGTATTATCGTCGCTTCCCGAGGTTGCTCCATGGTTTGGGTGTGGTCTTGTTCGCCGTCTTGGACCTTTAATGTTTTCCCAATCCAGAATTGATCTCGGTTGTGCTCGCCAAGAGCCAAGACCTGGTCCATCGGGACAGCCATTGGGGGGGAGAATCAATTATTGTCTAGCTCTACATAAATCACGGGGATTCCGTTCATGTCGCGCCTGCAGGACTGCACAATACGACATCGGGTTGCCCCAGATGGGGGCGTTTGCTCATCGAGATCCCATTTGCAGTTTAGACGGAGGTACATCATCTCTTAGGCGAAATCCTTCCCACCTTTCCTATCCTGTACAAGACGGCCGCGCTCAGACGAAGCTACTAACGTGTCCCTGCTACTATGAGAGATTTTCCCCCATTATTAGGCCCTTTCCCTCTACGGTGCCACGGTGGCAGCGGGCAACGCCAACGTGACGCCAATCGGCTTGTTCAATTTTATTACTCCATGGAAATCATAGATAATCAGTCATGAGATGATAAGAGCTCCGTGCAGCTACCAATTGCCAAATCAGAAGGGGCAACACAAGGGCCAGTCTCGGGGTAAAGCCGAGCCCGACTCGGAGATGATCTGACTGACCATCAGTTGCCCCCAACCCATAGCTTGCTGTCGCCCATTGTCCCTGCGTCATCTTGTGCGTGATTGTCGTTCATAACCATTGTTTAGAATTTCTGCATCGGCTACTCACGGTCTCGCGGCCGCTCTAGAGGATTTGTTCTACGAGCAATGCAACGGCTATCTCGGCGTCCAACATGACGACAGGAAATTAGATGCTAGAATTGAGAAAATCAACGCAATTCTTTTTCTTTCCAGGGTCCTAGTCTCCATTAGAAATTCCAATAATCTCTGGAGGTGCCCATCCACCGGATGCATCTGACATGACATCGGGATATTTCACCTCGGCAAGCCCCCTGGTCTCGGCCCAGCCCAAAAACTGGCCGCCATCGGCGTCACGGGAATCGGCACGCGATGCCCGCCTCCCCTTCCCTATCACCGTCATTCTCTTGGGCCTGGTTTTCCTCTGGATGTTTTCTAGCGCTTCTATCTGACTGTCTACCCCTGGATATGGTCAGGCGATCCGCCGATGTTCCATGGTTGGAACAGTCGGTCAGCGACTAAGAACTTTCACTCGGCGGTTGACGCGACGCGACCCAAGATTAAAAATCTGTTTAGGCCAAATGCTCCATGAGACAAGTCTCTCCCGACCATGTTGTTTCGGATGCTTCCTGCGCGGGGCAGTATGTACAGAACTATGCAGGAAGTATGCTGAAAATTGGTCCGCCAAGGGAATAGAATGCAATAGGGTCGGTGAATAACCTTCCTGGCGGAATTCTGGGCCCGCGATCAGAATCTCCTCAGGGAAAATATGATATCAGCGCACGACTGGTTGTCTCAGCCTGGGTCGTCGCAATAACGGAGGTCTCTCGATTGCCCTGCAGTGTGGTCTGCGAAGTATATTCAACCTATAGTAGGCTGTGCAACGCTCGCTGCCAAGGGATCTTCAGCATGGATATTCCCCGCATGATACATCCTGGACGACCGTCTATCTGATCTCATGTGTCCGGCTCTCTTCAAAGCAAGAATGTCAACCTCCTTGCGTGATTGAGGTCTGCCAGGCTGCGTGCCACGGTACTGGTTACATAGTGGCACATCGACCCTGCAGACGTGTTCATTGGAATGCTTGGGACCGATTAACGAGCTGCGCGACGCCATCGGAAGGCACTCCCGGGATAGAGACATACATGCACGCCTACTCAATCTCACACATACAGCACCCCATACGTCCAGCCAAGCCAGGCAATGCAAGGCGAATCATCCCCGTCGGAAAAAGGCTGCACCAAACCCTCCTAGAAGGCAGCAGGGACCTCCATTGCATACTCCATACAGTTCCCCGAAACGAGTTCGCGATCGCCATCCGAGCGCTGATCGCTATCTGCCTACGAGACAGTGCCCAAGTGGGCGATACTGCCGACGCCCCATGATGTCAAAGTTTTCTATATTCAGTATACTTTCAAGACATACGTAGGCCCTTTGTACACGCTGTTCCCCGTAGAGACCGTGGCCGTAGATGATTGATGGATGCACTGCAGAAGATGGTGGTCGAACCCAGCCATCCGATCAGGCACCACCGATTGTTGAACGTTCACTTACCGCAAGGTTGACAGGCAGTGATCGACAATGCGTCAGGGGCTGTGATGAACTTATTCTTCACCGCCAAGCAGGTGAAGTGTTCGCTAGCATTGCGACTTGTATGGGGTCCAGAAGCCCGCAATTGAGGGGTAATGCTCTGGTGCATGGATCGCGTGAGTCCATCCCCAGGAAGAAACGCGGACTGTGTCTGTCGTTGGGGGGGCTGTTTGTGGTGCCAACCCAACCAGCCTGGAAATGAAGCAATCCATTGACTCCCGCCAAGCAAATGATGTGCAGTATCAGCAAGGCTGGTGCTTGGCGGATATCCCCTTGGGACAGTCCGTCTATCAATAGCCAACTCACTGTACGGAGTAAGAGAAAGGAAATCTATGACCGTGCAAATGACATAACATCAGACCACTATCGCTACACTTACCTCACGCACCCTGGACTACTACTAGTAGTATTACTAGTCCCAGCTGTCCACTTTCTCCCCATGGAGTATCCGCACTCCATCTTTCTTTACCCCCTACCCCTATAATCTAACTCGCATAAGTGGACTCATAATAATGATAATAATAATAATCCCACAATCAATAACAGATGATAATAACAATCATAATCGAAGGGCAAATTACAGTAGATGATCCCATTCAATTCGCATTCCTCCCCAACCACCTTCACGGTGACTCCCTCTGACTTTTCTCCTGAAATTCTCGCCAAGTCCACCCTAACCCATGCATTCCTCTTCAACTATCGCTCTTGGCATGTCTACCACCCCGAATTCGAAGGGATACGCACTGCCCCCCGGACAGGTACAAACAAGAAGAACACAAGAAAATAGGCTCAAAAGTTAAGTACGCAGGCGAGACATAGTGACTCTCCGCCAAGACCAAAAAAAAGGGTGTCGTATCGTCGGACTTGAGTTTCTTTTCCTTTTCTATTTCTTTTTTATTTCTTTATTTTTACTTTTTGTTTTTTGCCCGATAAGATGAGTCGTTTTGTTTGTGGGCGCATTTTTGAGTTGGATTGTTTCGGGCGATTGCGATATAGTTTGAGGTCATGTGGGAGAAGAAGAGATTAGTAGTTGGGGGGATCTAGGTCCGGGGGTTAGAGTTAGAGTTGAAGTGCCCTGGTTTGGAAGTTTTATCTGGTGTCTTGAAGATGAGAATCTACGGTGTAGAATTGGGAGTATTTCTATCTCCTCTGTATATTCAGGTCAAATGTGTGTCCTGGATCTTGTATAGCGAATTACACAGTAGTATGCCATTGAGCATGTATGATGGTATGTATGTATGTATGTATGTATGTACAATACTACCTACAGAGTAGTATCTCCCCCATACCATACATGCGTACATACATCATATATCAAATCCAGTCCTCTATCACAGTAGACATAGATGAAAAAAAAAAAAAAGGAATGACAAATGACATCATCCACAATCTCATTCATTCATTCATTCATTCACGATTTCATTCTGCAGGTGCCGCCACCGCTCCAAACGCCCCGATCCACTTGACATTCTTGTCCAGCTGGCGGTGGTATTCTTGGCGGGGGAGACAAGGTTGGCTGCGGTATGTTTGAAACAGGGCATGTTTGGGTTTGGTTTGGCATGTTTTGGAATCCGGGGGGGAAGTTTGAGAATGGAGGTGTGGATGTGACGTGATGGCCTCTGGGGCTTTATTCGGGTTTCAGGTTAGCTGGGTTTGGGGGTTATGGATGTGGTTGGTGGTTGGTGGTTGTTTGGTGAAGGGAGGTGAGGTTGGGGGGATGTCTTGTGGTGAAATGATTTAGTGCATGTATGTAGTTCCTTGCGGTGTGGTGGTGTGGATGGAATATATATTCGTTGTTGAGGCTTGTATATAGATGTTTGTTCGTGTTGAATGAGTTATTTTATATATATGGTAGTTTGTGTTTCTATATTGTGGAATGATCATAACTGTAGAGAATATATATGTGTGCTTCATTGCTGTCAATATCAGATTGAGACTAACTGTATACAATATGGACTGGGAGTTGATCAGGCGTATATTGCATTCTGCTTCATCGGCAAGGCGTCTGCATAGCTAGACGTTTCAATCGCTAGGATCTAACAGGTCATTTGAGTCTTGATTGATAGAGATTATACTACCAGTCACTGACTCAATTTCTATATATTTACTTGAGATGGTCGATTAGGACCTGCGAAGTTAAGAATTCCATATCAATCTCAATGGTCACTTTCATATCAAGAATACTGGCAAGACAAGTATGAGAGATTCATACAGCGGTTCTGCAGATAAGGACAGCTTGGACAATGATACTCTTGAGTACCTGCAATATCAACGTGTGTGTGTGTGTGTGTGTGTGTGTGTGTGTGTGTGTGTGTGTGTGTGTGTGTGTACAGACCATCTTTCGGTGAGAAGCTCTGCCCAGCCAGTGGCTGTGTCTGGTTGTCTTGCGATTAGATGATATTCCACTTCAGTTAATCTGCAACTCAGTAAACTCCCATGGAGAAGATAGCCCAGTGATGAATGAACCTATGATATGTTACACAGACCGATACTAGAAAGTAACCTTCGCACCCACAGTGCAAGGCACCAGACTCCCAGGCATATATTTCTCAATCGCAAACTTCGCCCTCCAACCAGAGCAATGCCCCGGCAGCAGGACAGCAGGGTCTAGTCTCTGAAGGTCTTTGACGGTGCTTTCCGTATCGGCCGCAGTGCTAGTAGCAAGATGAAAGCCCCCAACAACCGCATAAAGCGGAACAGAGCCATCGAGCTGTCAACCGCATGTCGTGAGCAGTTGACGACACCGGCATGGCTGCAGCCTGTGAACAGGACGAGTCCTTTGTCTGGAAAAGGTTGCAAGTTAGAGACAACCCAGAGTAGAAGAGGACGGTTATTGATATCATACCCTTTAGATTGCACATGAGGAAACGCTCGTCGGAAATAAGCTCATCAGAAAACCAATCCTTTTCCTCGCTGTCATAGCGCATGCCGCCTTTGATACCGTTTTCGTACGCCGTCTGGCGAGGGATTTCGCCAGAGATCAGAAAGAAATTGTCGAGGACAGTGTGTGTCTCGTCATGCTTTTGGATGACTCCTCCGGCTGCTTCGAGTTCCTCGAATGTAGGGTCCGCCTGAAAGGAAACGATGTTCGGACCCAGGGCGAATCCGCGATAGTCGGGACGGTCAGGATGAAGATCGACTGACACTTTGTCTGTATGACCTTTGGCTTTTTTGGCCTCGGATATCAATTCAATGGCTCGGACAAGGCCCCCTGGGCTCTGTTAGCAGAGTTACCGGATGGATAACCCACGACGAGTTAGTCAAAGTAGAGCTGTGCATACCCGAATGGTCCCGATGCCAATGTGATAATTGAACCAGCTCGACAGAAGACAAATCCGGCCGTAACCGCTTGACATTCCTCTCCCATATCTCGCCTTCAGGGCCTGCATCGAATAGAACAGAGTGCTTTACATCGCCTTTCGTAGCTGTCTAGAGATAGTCAGTATACATTGGGGTCGGTTGACGGAAAGGAACATACCACAAGGATGGACAGACCATGCGCCGAACAGCAAATGTCTTCCATTTGCAGTTCCTTTTTGGCTTCGCCTCGGTCATGTAATTCATGTGTTGACTGTAGAGCAAGAAAGCCCATCAGACCCGATACCTGGACGGTGTCTGCGGCAGGTGGAGAGAGAGGATCGAGCTCATTGTCGATGATGACAAGGGCTTCGAGAGAATCAACTTCTACGAGGTCCAGATCAGCCATACTGGTGACGTATCAACATGGGTAGAAGATGGGAGGTTTTGTCTTACTATGAGCGGAGAGATGGATAGTCAAAGCGGGGACCGAGGATAATTGTTCTTCCTTAGCCCTAAGATGACTACACTCAGCACAAGGTGATGAATGTCAGCTTTTTGTTTGATTGTCTACATAAAAGGCGGGAATGCTCTACTTGTAGGTATTGGAAACCTCAGATGGGATAGGTGCATTGTGTGGCTAGTTCTTTGACATGAGTTTGTGGTTATTGATGCTAGATGTAGAAGGACAGCAGAGGAAGATGCATAATAAGAGATGCTAGACAATTGATGTAATCCTCCTTAGCAGTCGCGAATGCAGGGTATATAGCAGATGCATGACAAATAGCAGAGACATGATGAGTTTCCTTTCCATTTCCATTCAATTTCCAGACACTGTCCATTAAACTTGTGATATCACTTGCTCTTATTCTATACCCTGACAGACCCATCCCCAGTCAGGGGCCCAGTGACGGTAGCCAACCCCTGCCGAGGCTCAGGCTGGCCCCTATGAAAAGCCTGTTCCTAAGTCGGAACATTGTTGGCCTCCACCTGCATAGGGTGGCTCACAGGTACATATAGCCACCAGCCATATAGGGCTCCATATAGGGCTCCATATAGGAACCCATATAGAAACCCCAGGTGGGTTCCGCCGAGAGCCCCTGCTGGTACGGATACCACTGTGGTGGCATCTGTGGGTAGTATGTCTGGGGGTAGTATGTTTGGGTGTAGGACGCCGGGGGGTAGGGCGTCGGGAACCCATTGGCAGGCGGCATTGGCATTGGCTGCGGCCCAGCCTCGACCCGAGTCCCTAGATAACACATTAATACATCGAAGCAAGGCGTTCATAGATGAATAAGTGCACTTACTCTCCCCGGTTGCCCTCTCAACCCTCAGAACGCGGCTATGCAGCCGACATTGTCTGTCCAGGCTGAGAGCCCTTTCAGCATCTTCGGGACGCTGCAGATCGTTAGTTTCATGCTGCAGAGAGCCTAAGAAGCACACAGTAAATGACTTACTTCGTATTGGACGAACGCCCCAGGCAGCCTCTGGCCTGCTTTGGCTGTGCTGTACAGCCCGACATAGCAGTTTCCGAACAGCCCGAATGCTCCATGCAAATCCTGCATGAGCTGTTGCTGCCCGACACTGATCGGAAGACTAAGAGCGGGTTAGCTTTCTATCAACACCAACGAGCCAGAGTTATACATACTTTCCGACGAAGAGCCGGGCAGCCACACCGTGACGCCGTTGGACGTCTTTGAATGTGACCTGAGGTTCGTTCTCAGGTCGAGGGTAAAACTGATTCCCTTGATCGTTATGGTGGGAATCGGAAGAAGGGGTAGACTGAGGGTGGATGCTCGCTTGGTTCTGCATCTTGAAAAATGCCTTGTACTGGCTTGTTATGATATACAAGATGTGTATGATACGGTATAGAAGATATGTATGATAATGGAAAGTAGATTTGTGCTGTTGTGGTGATAGATGGGTGTGTGGGTTTGTCTGAGGGGGGATGGAAGGAGCGAAGAGAAAAGCCAGGCGTCCGGCTTACGAATATGGAAGCAACGCTCACAGTTCGCTCAGAATGTGATAATCGTTTTCCTTTCTTTGTTCCTGAATCTTCTGGTGTATCTGTTAAGGTTCTTACGAAAACGCAGAAACGTAAACAAGTTTATGGTCGAGCCCTAGGGAGAGGCCTGCTACCATGGCTAATCATTGGAGATTTAAGGTGAAAGAGAGCCAAGTAGATACTATAGAGGAAGTGACTATGCATCTGTTAAGTATTTGTAATTGGTTTATGAGAATTGCTGGTCCAAGCGACCTTAACTGCGACTTTCATAGCCATGACGGTATTCCAATGACTGTCTGCAGGACTACATACCACCTACTGATACTTAATACGGAACTCGATGGAAACTACAGAAGGTTCAACATTTGAGATAGTTTGGTAATGTTTCAGGCAGACCTTGGAGGGATATCACCTCATTGCGCACCTGATCTCGCTAAACGAGGGACCAACGGCGGTATGCTTCAGCTCTAAGTACTGAGGCAATCGCCTAATTCAATCAAGAATAGCTAGTAATCCCATGTGAATGGACACAGGTGATATCACGGTCGACTAATTCCCAAACTGTCTGCAATGCATTCAGATATCTACATTGAAGTTTTGAACTAAGAAAGGCTTCGTCTCTGTGCAGTCATGGAATCCCCGGACATTTAAGAAAGTGAAGCTAGAACTTGTTTTTCTCGTACTGCTGACCAAAAACATGAACAGCAACAGGCAGATCTATTAAAGTCGATGCCTTTCATAGAGATATCTGTGGCCAAGTACTAGATCGAGTTGTGTTCGTTGCATGTACTATCCCCTCCGCTAGTCGTAGCTTTCTAGATGCAGAATGACATACTTCGAGTCAGCCAGTTAGAGAATATAATACCTTTCGTATTCATTACTGGAAGCCTACCGGCTGTGCCTGATTTCAATAACTGTTCACTGTTATCTTATGCGGACGTCATCAGCAACGGTTATTGGTGATGGAACCACGAGGACAATCTTTTACATTAGAGATGAGTCCGCCTGATGGCTCACTGTAACTCTATTCAGTCAGAACATGACTACTAGTAATGAAGAGGTCGTTGATAAATTGCATGAATGTCGTTCTCCAGTTGTATAGATCAATTTCCCGATCGGGAAGATTTAGGGCTGAGTTTGGCGGCGTCTACTCTATGATCCTCTCACGCCGTTGAACGATAGCTAGGTGAAAATATGCTGATCTACAGGCACCTGCAGCTTCCTACATAGCATATAATTGAGACATCGATATATAGGTCATTTTATTCAGCTTCTGCCTTTTGTGGTAGTATACTATCTAGATCCCCAACTAGTACCTACCATTATTTTGTGTAATTTGTAAATAAAGTTGACTACGATCTGTGGTCACCCCGCGGGTCTCCCAACAAACTGCACAGGCAAATCGGAGAAATATGCAATGTAAGGGTAAAGATGATGCCATCTCTGACGGTACTGAGGTCAAGTCGTACTCGTAACTATACATAAATTCCCTGAAGGCGGTGAGCGGGGGTTATGTTATCAATCAGTTCTCACGCGACGTCATTTCGATCGACCCCGAATTCCGAGTTTCTTCTCGCCGACCGTTTTATGTAGACTTGGAACTACCAAATCTCTCCTCTATAACAGCCCCAACAATTGCACCATGTTCCCCACAGCAAGGTGCTTCGCCGCGAAGCCCGCGGGATTCTTCAAGCGCAGCGCAGACGAACTAGGCCGCCTGTCAAAAATCGGTACTTAGCTCCCCCCATTTCCTACGGTCGGACCGCCGATGAATGCTCTTGAGATCTTATCTCACCTACTAACCTAATACCTTGGTTCTCCACAGCCTGGAACTCGGAAGCTCTACATACCCCGACGAAGCCCTACGTCCTGCTCGATTTCGAAGATGATTCCGCCGTCGCCGGCTGCAAGACCATGGCCGACCGCGCCGTCGGCGGGTTCAGCACAGCCAGCCTAGACTACGTCCCTGCAGACCCCGCGACACAATCGCCCGCCCACGCCCGATTCCACGGAAGTATCTCGACGAAGCTACCCAATAACTGGCGCGTAGAGCGGACGGGTACGCTACCCCGGATCCCAACCCTGTCCGGTAACAAGGAATTGACAAACAGAGCGATGCTCAAACAGGATACGCGGCCTTCCGCAACAAAGACCGGGGCCTCTGGCTCTTCGGACGCCTTTACTGGGATATGGATCCCTACTCTTACCTCGCCTTGCGCGTGAAATCGGACGGACGCCGCTACACCGTGAACATCCAGACAGATTCGATCGTCGAGACGGATATCCACCAGCACCGACTGTATACTCGGCACCATAGGGTTCAGGAGGCTTCGGATGAGGACCTGTCGTCGGCGGAGGAGCAGTACCCAAGTGACGTACCGCCTTCTCTGTCTGATGTCCCGCCCGAGTCGACTGTCATGTCGACGTCGACTACTACGGAGACGGCCGGGACGACAGGTTGGGAGACGATCTTGTTACCGCTTAACGCGTTCGTGCGGACAAACCATGGATTGGTGGTTGAGCCGCAGACGAATATCCTGCGGCAGCGGGTGAAGAGTATCGGCATTGGACTTACGGACCGGGTCGAGGGTCCGTATGATCTGCGGATCCATAAGATCTGGGCTACGAATGGGATGAGCGAGGCGGAGATTGAGGAGGAGAGGCGTATCTGTGGTGTGGATGCCTTGCCTGTGGACGAGGGTGTCCGGACTGGCTGGACGAAGGAGTCTGCGCAGCAGCATACGAGTCAACCGGAGGCGCCGAAAGCGAAGAAGGGATTGAAGGCGTTGCGTTCCGAGTGGGATCAATAAATGGATACCAGATTCAATTTGTATAGTAATTTCTATTTTTAGGTCTCTATTACCAGTTTTCAAACTTGACCAGTGACATGGGTAAGGATTTCCAGACAGGTTTACACTTGAGCGTTATTTATTCTACGTTTTTCATTTTGACATAAACCGTTTCAGCCTCTGCTTACCCACACCTCCCTGACTAGACTATCAGTTACCACCAGTGATCCGCTCCCATGCCTCACGGTACTTCGCGCTAGTCTTCTGTGCAATCTCGTCGGTCATGCGTACACCCGGCTTGCCCTTCAGTCCCTGGCTCGTCAACCAGTCACGCAAGAACTGCTTATCGAAGCTCTGCTGTCCACGACCAATCTCGTAGGAGTCCTTAGGCCAGAAACGCGATGAATCAGGGGTGAGGACCTCATCGGCCAGCACAACCTCGTCGGTCTCAGGATCCAGACCGAACTCGAACTTCGTGTCAGCGATGATCACGCCGCGAGTAAGGGCGTACTCGTGAGCGACCTTGTACAGCTGAATAGCGAGAGAGGCGATCTTAGAGGCATAGGGTTCACCGACAATAGCAACGGCTACAGCATTAAATGATTAGCAAAAATGACCCATGGCCGCGAAAAAAAAAGTAATAAAACAAATAATGCTCCGAAATCGGAACCCGGAGATGTAGACATACCTTGATCCGGATGGATGTTCTCATCATGCTCGCCCTGCTCCGCCTTGGTGCTGGGGGTGTAGAGTAGGACCGCCGGGGAAGGCCTCGCTCTCGCGCAGACCCTCGGCGACCTTGATGCCGTGCACCGTGCCCGTTTTCTTGTACTCGTTCCAGGCGGACCCGGTGATGTAACCGCGCACGATGGCCTCAATGGGGAGGATCTTCAGCTTGTGCACCTGCATGCTTCTGTTCTGGAGGACGGGACGCAGCGACTCGGGGATTTGAGGCGGGAGGTCGAGGGTGAGGAAGTGGGTGCGGAGAGAGGGAATGGCATCGGAGAGGATCTTGAACCAGGTTTTCGTGCACAGGGTCAGGAGGATGCCTTTTTCGGGGATTCCCTGTCATTGGTGTGTTAGTGATACCTTGGAAACTGAGGGAAGTGAGAGATAGAGAGAGATAGAAGTGAACAGGTAGAGGGGAGGTACATTCTCCATGATCACATCGTACGCGGAGATGCGGTCCGTCGCGACGAAGAGGAGGGTCTTCTCGTCGACATCGTACAGGTCGCGAACCTTTCCTCGGGCGATAAGAGGGAGGGCACCCTGAAGGTCGGTATTCGTCAGAGCTTCAGACATGGTGGGATTCTGTATAATTGGGGGTATGAAGGGAGTAAGTGTCTAGAGATGAGGTCGAGTCATAAAAGTTGGGGACGATAATCGATAAGCGGATCACTTTTTTGTGGCGGGGTTTCACGCCTGAGGCAGTCAACCCCGCCATATCAGAGAAGTCTACCATTTATAGAAGCTGGTCCATAATCAAGCTAATGTAAGTGGGAAGTGACTATGATCTATTTATGGATTATGCTTAAAGTAAAGTTGTACATTGCTCTCCAATGTGGCTGATTGATATCTGGTTCCCAGCTCACGCCGCCTTCGTTGATGGAGACAGTTAAAGATGCTAGTCCGCAAACAGAGCCTGGCGAGCTCGAATGAACTCTTGTCTCTCCTCAGCCCATTCTGGTTTCACAGAAGACAGTGGATAAGGCTGCTCGGCACCGGGGAGGAGCATATCAGGATCGATTGTGCGAATCTTGGTGCCACGAGGTAGACGTAGGTAATCTTCCGCATGCGGCCCTGCTTCGATGTGTTCCATCGTCTCCAATCCTTTAGCGTCAACTTTACTTTTGAGGAGCTCCCAGAATTCGCGATCCGATAGACTCCATAGAACCTCTTCCTTCAGCAATCCTCGTTGCACTAGGTCGCCAATCAACTGACCTATCTTCCGGGACATGACGGCATGAGCCGGGTTGCACCACACGTCCCTATCGCATTCGGCATAGGCCCTAGCATAAGCCATGGCCAAATCAACTTCTTGAAGGACCAGCAAGCGACGTGGTGAAGACGCGTCCGGGAACGCTGTGAATGAGTCATACACACGGCGTGCATCCTCTATCGCAAGTTTGCCGAACGCGACTGCACCTCGTAGAGAGTAATCGAGACGATCAGAACAGAGATGAGGAGCAGGCATCTCCACCAGAGGGTAGAGCTCCTCATCGAACGGTTTTAGATCAACGAAGCCATGCTTGGTAAGGATCTGTGGCAGCTCAGTGGTCATGATATACCGCGACTTGTGGACCTCATGATAGCTCTCCCCTGGCTTTGACAAGACCCCATCGACGTCATGGCTGAGCACTGTGTGGCTTATATCGTGCAGAAGACCCGCAACTTGCTCTCCAACGCTAGCACCGACTTTGCGCACTAACAGCGATGCGCCTATGGAGTGCTCTAACCGAGTCACTGTTTGAGTTGTACCCAACAAGTCGGTTTGGCCATGGAGACCGATGCCTGCGAGTCGGAGCAGAGCTGGGCATCGAAGTAGCTCGGTTAGAACCGGCTCGGAGATGGTGTGCTCCCCGTAGATTTGGTCTTGTATAACCACCGTGTTGTCAGGATGGAAAGTGAGGGTTTGGAAGGAACCCGCCTGTAAAGAGGAAGACATTGTGTGGAAGTCGGATGGTTGATTGGAGGTAAAATGGATGTTGGTTGGTAATTTGAAGCTTGTTTGTTAGTGCATTTCTCTGCCCAATGTTGTTTCTCTTACTTCTGAACCCCGCATTCAAATCTCTGGGTGCGCCAGATCGACTTCCAACTCTGATCAGTATTTCCAAGGTTCCGCCATTGACTAGTACCCGTGGCATGAAATAGGATTATATGCACTCTGCTACTCGATGGAAATGATTTGAATCAGTCAATAGAGGCGCAGATTATAGAAGAAGCCAAGTTGTTGAATAATCGAGTAGGAGAATGATATCATTTATATAGTTGAGTCTGGCACCCTTTACGTGACTCTCCATATGAGAAAACACCCACAGGATCCAGATTAAACCATGACACGATAGCTAAGTGGATGTGAAGACGGCATCACGCACAATAAACATCCATGACTTCCTCTTTCCGTCGACGACGTCTGTAGCAGTAGCAATGTGAGGTAAGGGGTCAAAGTGTAACATTGCCCGGACGCCGACAACAGCTAAGGATGATGTAGTGAGCCTGTGGATAAGAGCGAGAAATTTCACTTCTAAAGAATGATAACAAGATGACAGTTAAGTAACACGACGCACAAGTACAAGACCAGAAGCGGCAGCTAACTCGGAACAGAGATACAAATCTGACTGGGACACAGATAGGACCAAGTGAAAGTCAAGGCTGGTCAGCCTGAACCCACTAGAAAGCTAGTTAGCTTTCTTTCAATTATGATTAATAGTCATTGGCCCGTTCTCAGAACTAACGAGATAGCCCATTCTTGCCGTTGTGGGTGGGTCTCTGTTCAGGATATTGAAGGAGTTAGGGCTGGATGCCTAGCTCCTCTTTGGCTACATTGGCCCTTGTCCAGAGAAAACAAAAGAGGGAAAAAAAGAAAAGAAAGACTACGTAGTACGTGGCTTACTGAGTCAGTTAATATACCGCAGATAATATACTGGTGAGATAGATGAAGCAGTCCATTTCAACGGTTGATATTCGCTGCGTCTTGTATGCAAGGCCAGAGTATAGCGAACAACTGTGAGAAATTCGGCCGCGAGTTAAGAGATCAGAGAGTACATGGCAAGTCGCAATGTATTCTTGGCCATCAAGTCCCAGACCGACCCCTTATACAAAACACATACTATGTAGTAATCAAGAATGGAATTATAACAAACTAGACTCCGTACCTGAGCACCATCGACAGGGTTGCATTCCGCAATGATCTAGTGGAATACCTCAGGTCACTTGAAAGAGTGCATATGAATGTGAGCATTTGCTGGTCACCTAGAATGTCCCATTGAGTCGTGGAAGAGAATCATTGCGCTCTGTCTGCGTGGTATAGCTCAGGAGTGATGTCTGGGAACTTCTTGAGGAGTAGTCCATAACCACAGGTGTCCAGGTACTGAAAGGATTCGAACAAAGTTGCAAAACGCCCATAAAAGCACATCTCATTATTCATCTCGTGTAGACGCTGATAGCCGTATATTAAATAAAACATAGACGCATGTCTTTTCATAACCAGGGCGTGTTTTCATCGCACCCTCTGTCATTCCTTGGATCGCCATCCTGCTCAACAGTGGTCGGTAGACTTGCACCACCCGACGCATATAGCCACGATGATAGCGATGATAAGTACTTTATAAACAATCAGCCAAACCCAGTCTACTGAAAGTCCAATAGATAAATAGTATACTTACTGCAAACAAGCAGGATGTACCACTTGTACTTTCTCGCATTACGAGCGCTGATAATCGCATGGCCTATCTTTTCGTTTCCCTTCTCATAGTTGAACGCCGTTTTCTCCGCATTTTCCTCAATGGTCTCAACCATTGGTTCGTGCGCACGAACAAGCTCAGCCACTTGCTGAGAAAGCTCGCTAAGGGCCATCAGATCCTGCTCAATCTTGCGGATGGCAGCCGATCGCTCCATGACAGCAGCCTGTGCATCTCTCGCTTGTCGAGTTCGGGCTCCTTGCACCTGTAGCCAGTTAGTTCACTCTCCCTTCATATGCCCATAGCCCGCGGGCCTTCGAAGTAAAATAAAATGAAAAAATGTGTACATGCCTGAAATACCATCTCTGTCCCTGCCAACACCTGCTGGACGCCATGCTCTACCTCTTCTGGCGATGCTTCCGGGTTCGCAATCTCGTATCGCCGCCACACCTGGTCCCGGAGCGCGCGATCAAACTCCGTCTGCGACCGATAATAATCCTGAATGGCCTGTTGCACTTGGTTCTTCGTGGCATCGACCTGTGCCCGCACGCGCGGATCACTCGGGTCCGCAAGATATCTGAGCTCATCTACCAGGCTGCGGACTTGTTGGAGGGCATGGTTGATACTGGATTGCACATCGTCGAGTTCCTGGCGGGCTGATTGATCGTCTGACAAGGTGGTGGAGTTGAGGAGGGCTTGCTGTGCGGAATGAAGATTTGAGTTGCGGAGGGTTTGGATTTGATTGAGCTCGTGGGTGATTTGCTGGCGTTTTGTGAGAACGGGGGTCAACTTGTTGATTTCGAGGTCTAGAGAAGCGGTGGTGTTAACTATTGATTAGGGCTGTAGATAGGGCTCGGAGGAGTGGAGGTTGGGTTTGGTTTACCATAGCCTTCTTCAAGGGCGCTGTAGTTGATATTTGTTGTTGCCATGGTGTTAGTAATGGTCTTGGATGGTTTAGAAAATAATTACAATTGAAAACTGAACCTGAAAAGCCAAAGCGGGCTTATATTGATGAATTTCGAATGAGAACTGGATTCTATTTTAAGAGTGGGAAATGCGGAGGCCTGAGGTTAGCGTAAGGCAGTGCTGCATCCAGTCTCTTCGCCCTGAGCCGCAGCGCGATCGACAACAGAGTAAGCACTAAGAAGGCCCGAGGCAGTGCTACAACTCCTCCATTGGTTATTTCGGATCCTGAACTCGATCTTGACCCGCAGAGGCCCGACCAAATATTGACAAGGTGCATTTGGTCGTAGCTGACACAAAGAGCTAGGATCGAGAATGAGATGCATGTCACTGTAGTCTGACTCACACCGTTCCTACAAAGATGATGCCATTAAAGACTGAGCTGATACTCCAACTCGGAGACTCACTTCGTTTAAGCAACTTGCGTGTGAATTCCGTGGAACGATATTGATCGGAATGCATCTCCTCCAGCTACCAAACGAGCTCCTACAACTGATCGCAGGCAACCTGTCCACGGACGCAGACCTGAACGCTTTAATCCAAACACATAGTCGTTTTTACCACCTGCTCCAAACTTATTTGTTTGAGCACAATGCCCGTTATGGCGAAAGCTCTGCCCTTGTCTGGGCCGCAGCACTTGGCCATATAGCGATAGCAAAAAAATTACTTCAAGCTAAAGCAGATGTCAACACCCTTGGCCCTCTCCACCGTTCTCTCTACAAACTCAACTTGCGTACTTGCCGGCGCATCACCGTGCCCTGTGATTTTGTGTGGGAATCGTGCTTCCCTGGGGATCGGCGCAGGTCAACGCCGATCATGCTTGCGGCAATGTGTGGACATAAGGAGATTGTTGAGCTTTTGGTCCACCACGGCGCCGACATCAATCGCGAAGTCAGCGGTTGTACCCCTATACTCGGAGCGATAGGACATGCGCATGCTGATATTGTAGAGTACTTACTGATCACTGGTGCTGATCTAGATGTCATCTTGAGAGGTGATTTCTCGTGGCATACGCCACTCGAGCATGCAGCAAATGAAGGACATGTGGAGGTGGTGAAGGTCCTGCTTCGGCATGGCGTTGATCCTAACAAGTCCTCACCACTCGCGCTTGCGGCAGAAATGGGCAGAGTGGAGGCGGTGCGTGCGCTACTCGAAGGGGGAGCAAACGTCGAGGGAAGGAATACTCACAATGATATGGATGCACTCTTTAATGCAGTGTATAGAGATGAAGCATTGATCGTCGGCCTATTGATCAAGTATGGGGCCAGTCTTGAACGCAGAGATGATGATGACCTGACTCCCCTCGCATTTGCCGCTCAAGTTAGAAGTGTTAAAGTTGCTGAGGTGCTTCTTGATCATGGTGCCAATGTCAATGCCTTGGTACATGGCTCCACAGCGTTATCTTTCGCGATCGATGAAGGAAATGTGCCGGTGGTAAAACTACTGCTTGAGAACGGTGCTGATTTAACCTTGACGAACGAGCCATTTCTTTTAGGTGTACTTAAGAGATGTCGCAATCAGGAAGTGGACACCGCAATAGTCGAGCTGCTACTAAGTCACAAGGCCGATCCTAATTGCTGTGACCAGAAAGGAAGGACACCATTGATCCTTGCGACAGTTAAACATAATCTCGACATTATGAGGTTATTGCTTGCGCACGGAGCCAATCCCAACCGAGAAGACGAGGGAATTGATTTATTATCGTGGGCCTTTTTGAAAGGTCATGCAGACGTAGCGAATATGCTACTCGCTTATGGCGCCAGGGAATCATGGCTCAGAGGTGATCGCATAATGACACTCCGAGGTGAATAATGCTATTAATTTCGTCATGACTTGGGTTGTATCGATTTTGCTGAAGAATTATCACTTACTCTTTGTCTAATCTCTATCCACCCTCGAGAATCTCGATTGCAATAGAGTTTATCTCAACGCCGGATCCAACGACTTAGTCTGCTCTATTTCTGCGAGCTCAAAGTACCTCTGTCTGCCAAGTACCAAAAGTGGAGACCAGGCTCAAGCACCTTAGTCAAAAGTTTTCTGCTTTGGATGACGTTGGAATAATGGATGATGAAAGCGACTGGGATGGTGAGTACTTTCCTAATGGTTATAGGTCGGAAGATCTGTATGGAAGTATAACTGTCGACCTGTTCTATGAGACTGCGCTAACAGTGTCAAGATCTATCCTTAGACGTGAATATGGTAGACAGTAGCGTGTTGCTAGAGACTTCCTCTTGCGTTCCAATGTCTACCGAAGAGGACGAAGAAGTCAGCGATATTAGCAACGACGACATGGAAAAGGTGGATAAGAGCTTTATCGAAAAGCTTGAGGTCAGGGCTCTGATGGCTCTTCCAATCCACGACTTCATTAAAATGAAGCCCATCCAGTCCATAATAGACAGCCTTACACAGCCACAGCTAGTAGATATGGCTAGGAAGCTCTTAGAGCTTGATAAATTCCAGGTCCAGCAGCACAGAATCACAACATACAGGATAACATACGGTCACCCTTCATCAGAAGTGAAGGATGCTATTCAAAGGCACCTTGTGAAAGAGCCACCATGTCCTGTTGACGAGGTGGTTACCAGCATTCCTACATTAGATTGCATTGACAATAATCTCCGCAAGAAGAACAAAGCGCAACTGAAACAGTTGTTGGATGAGGCGCTCAATGATTCTCACACAGCGAAATTATATACTCTTCTCGAGGAACGAATCCGAGCGTTGCCAGAAGAGACAAGACGTCAAATCCTTGCGGAAGCGCACTGGATATTGGATTATCTAGAATGGCGGGACCTCTGGAAGCCATGAGATTAATTGACGAGACTGCCACGTAGGAAAGGTTCTCTGGTTCCCTAGAAGGACCAGCAAGTTATTGATGGGAATTTCCTAAACAGTATCTATCTTGTGCCTTAGGAAACTCAATTATAAAGCAGTTACTTACGCAGCAGTGTTGTGATCTTCTTTGCTCCTTAAATTTTGATTGATCATCCTCGTGTTCGGCAAATTAGCGTGCAAGATCGCCTTGACGGTGGCTGGTATTTCAACTTTTCGTATAAACTCGCTTAATCCGACACATTCACTACTGGTGTAGATCCTAAAACCCAAGGCTCCGACTTAAGTGGGATATACTGGAGAAAATGGTGGAGACAAAGAATCAAAGTAGCTCTACCCTATCCACCCAAGAGAAGCCCAGAGATTTGTATGAATATGAGCCCTTGCCCACCCCCACGTCTATCAGACTCATAAAGGTGGAGGGCAAAGACCAAGACGGGGCAGTCCATGTGCGAATCAAGACCATTGATCTGAAAGACTCTCCTTGGTATCACGCCGTCTCCTACACCTGGGGAAACCCACACACTGAGTTACCCCACGTTCAAGCAACTCATGCGGCTTATTCCCAAAAGTACCCGCCTGACTATCGAGAGCCTATAGTGGCAAACGGGAAACTTTTATATGTCAGTCGAAGCGCATATGACATCCTCGTTACTGTGCCGAAGGACGCCTGGGCAAAGCGGTGCAACCAGAGAAATCCCAACAACCAACTTCGCGCGAGTATTCATTCAGCCTGCATGACGAACAAGATAGAGTTCGTCGAGGAGCTGATCTCTGCTGGGGTTGATGTAGATGTTCAAGACGAATATGGTCGAACTCCGCTGTCCTATGCCGCGAGGCTTGGGAAGCTTGATTTCGTGGAGCTCTTGCTCGCTGCCGGTGCCGATCCCAACATTGTTGATGAGAATAAGAACCAGTCTCTCGATCATGCTCGGGAAAGCAGGGTGGAAGAAGTTATCAAATGCCTCGAAGAGGCCGAGAAAAGAGATAAAGTGGATTGTTCTGTCACATCGTGGCCCGAGGGCCCTCAGATGTGGTGTTGGGTCGACCAGATCTGTATTGACCAGAGCAATCTCGAAGAGAGAGGTTCACAGGTGTCAATCATGGACCAGATCTATGAATGTGCCTCTTACACTCTTATATGGCTTGGGCTAGAAGACGCTTATACCGAGATGGCTGTCGAGACGATTCGCAAACTGTATTCCGCTCAAGGGGATTTCATTCATGCCAATGATATTATTCCCTACAAGCATCAGTCCAAGGAGGTATATGCCACAGCTGATATTCCGTATGTTTCGCTAGCAGAGTGGACGGCTGTTGCTACGCTTTTTCTACGGCCATACCTAAGAAGACTCTGGGTGATACAAGAGAACATTCTCTCCGACACATGCCTGGGATATTGTGGTAGGTTCGAGGTTCCTTGGCGAGCATTCTGCACAGTTGCGCAGCAAATCTACTTCCGGCAGCTCGTGTTGGGGAGAATTACTTCAACGGAGTTTATCGACATCAACAGTCCCGTGGTGGCCATAGAGAGCGAAATTGTGCATCTGACGCAGTGGAAAGACCGTCTCCAGAAGGGCGACCAAGCTTCTATGCCTAAAGCCCTCTCTTTAGAAAACCTTCTCTTTGAAACCTGGACCTTCCGGGCCACTGACGCAAGAGACAAGGTATTTGGTCTTTACGGGCTTCTAGCCAAAGCAGGAACTGTCCCCTGGAAGCCAGACTATTCGAAATCCGCCGCGCAAGTTTACGCAGACGCCACAAAACAAGTGATGAAGGATGCCGGTGATCTGCGCATGCTTTCAGCGGTCCTCGATCGTTCGCTCCACAACATCTCCGACCTCCCGTCGTGGGTTCCCGATTACAGTGTTCCGTTTTGTAACATGATGTGCGCGAACTACAAGGCGGCTGGAAACCTGCCTCAGCAGGCTATCCAACCCGGCCCTTGGAACGTCCTCGCAGTATCCGGACTGAAAATCGACACCGTCCTGCAAAAGGGAAACACCACTTCGGGGCCCAAACAGATGGCCATGTTCTTCGACGCACGCTGGTTGGAGCTCGCCTTGCTCCTCCCACACCCTTATCACAACGGGCAGCCCAGGACCGAAGCACTGTGGCGCACATTATGCGCGGACCAGAAGAAAGACGGCTCTTTCCCGGCTCCTGCAGCGTACGGGGCCCTTTTCCGAAGCATGCTGTGCAGACTTGCCTGTGTTAAGGCAGAGGAAACCGCCAGAGCTGCTGAGCAAGATCCAAATGTGGTGGTGCTGGAGGCGGCTCTATACCATATCCGACAGATTCTGTCAAATCCGCCGATTTCGAATCTCTCGCTCGAAGAAATTCAACGGACCTTTGGAGACCCGGACACAAACCTCAGCAGCCCTGACCTCCAGACTCTCACTCATCTTCTTTACAAACTCCATTTTCTCGGCGTGGTGGAGGAGGACCCCTGGACGCCGACCATTGATGAGGTTGAGGGATCTTACCGCAGCACGAAATGGCAGACATGGGAGGAGAGCAGTGTACTTCCTGGCGATGGTATCGAGTACCACGAGGCACTCAGGAGTAAGCATGGTAGACGGCGTCTGTTTGTAACCGAGAAGCGGTATCTCGGGCTTGGTCCTGCGTCGATGCTCGATGGAGATGAGGTTTGGGTTGTACCTGGTGCTGGTGCTGCACTCGTTCTGAGACCAGTTGAGCAGGGAACATTTACTTTGATTGGAGAGGCATACGTGCATGGAGCCATGAATGGGGAGGCTGTTGAACAAATTGACGCGGACCTTTCTAGTATTCGTCTTGTCTAGGACATTGAACAATCCAACGACTTAGGTGCCCAACAATACTCAGAAATTCTGATCTGGTTATTGCTTGTTGGTGAAAGGCCCGTCTGTCATAAGAGTGGTTGCTATAGCTTTATATTATATGGTTACCAGTGAGAGGAATAATTTGGTTTTCTATACAGTTATATTGACGTAAATACATAACAGGACATTAGAGAGCTAGAGTCTAATTCTAAAAAGCAAAGCAATAAACACCGTCAATCTGTCTATAGGAATGTAGCGCGGTAAGACCGCTTCTCAGCATCCACGTCTCACGGAGAGACGCTCACAGCTTGCTGGAGAAGTAGGGAATGTTCTTCTGCTCATACAATTCCCTGTACTGGGCCTTGATGATATCGGCACCCTGTGAAACGATCGATATTAGTTATAATGTCCTTCAGAAATTTGAAGGGACTCCATGTTCTCACCTTTTCACCGATCATGTAGACCGAGTTCTGGATACGGCAGTCAGGGATGACAGGCATGATCGAGGCATCAGCAACGCGGAGGTTCTTAATGCCATGGACGCGCAACTTGCTGTCAACGACACCCTGTTGGACGTTCTTTCCAAGACGGGCGGTACCACAAGGGTCTACAACGGTGTTAGTGATTGCATCTCAAATTATGCTAGAAAGTGAATACTTACGGAATCCAGTCTGACTGCGGTCCAAGACAGCCTTGTTCATGGCCTCGTCGGAGTCGAGGGGCATGTTCCAAGGGTACTCCTCGAGGACGAGATCCTTGAAGCCCTCGCCCTTGGTGAGGACATCGTAAGTCCACCTGACACCCTCACGCATGGCCAGGACGTCGAGGTCGCTGGCGAAGAAGTTAAGGTTGATGTTGGGCTGCTGAAGAGCGTCTGTGCTGTTCAGGGTAACCTCACCACCCTCAGACACGGGGCGAAGGAGATCGACAATGACGGTCATGTAGCTACCAGAGGGGGGCACAGGGTAATGCCACTGGAATGCAGAGCTGAAGAGTCCAACGAAGTCGAGTTCGAAGTGGGGCTGGCCAGCAGGACCGAAGGGGTCAAGGCCACCGTTGGCAGCCTTAGCCTCACGGTAGGCAGGGTAGCGGTTCAGGCGCTCATCGATACGAGGGAAGCCAACCAGCTCCAGGAAACCGGAGGCGGCCGGACCGGTCTTGTCGCGGCGGTAGGCAGCAACAGCAGCCTCGTTGGCGGGTCCAGCACGGTGAATGTGATCATCAAGGGCAACACCGTCCTTGAGGCGCAGGACGAAGGGCACAATAGGGTGGTCGAGGAGGTTCTTACCAACATGGGGAGAGTCAACGACCACATCGATGCCGTGCTTGTTCAGCTCAGCAGCAGGACCGATACCACTCAGAAGCAGGAGCTTGGGGGTTTCGAACACACCCTGGGAGACAATAACTTCGCGGGTAGCATAGAGGTTAAGCTCAGCACCATTGGTGGGGTCGACAACAGTCACACCAGTACAGGTCTGAGTGGTGCGGTCGATGATCAGGCGCTTGGAGTGGACCTGAGACAGGATAGTGACGTTCGGCTTGTTCTCGAGGTACAGCCAGCTACCTTGGCGCTGACCCTTGTAGATCGTATCCACACAGTGGGTCAGACCGTGCATTTCACCGGAGTAAATGTCCTCGGAAAGCGGCTCGCCCTTGGAGGTCCAGGCAGTGGTGAGAGCATTGCGGAAGGTCTCGAGCTCAGGAACAAGCTCGGCGTGGGAGATCTGGACAGGTCCACCGGTACCGATCTTGTTCAGATCGGTGGGGTAGAGCCCCTCGTCATCGTGGTAGGTAGCACACTTGCGGAGGTAATCCACACAGTTGTCCCAGGTCCAGTCACTGCCGCCGAACTCGTACCAGTCATCAAAAGTGGCCTTAGATCCGGGGATCCAGGTGAAGTAGTTGGCACAAGAACTACCACCAAGAGCCTTACCACGAGTGTTAGGCTTTTCAACACGCTCGTAGTCATCACGCTTGATCATGGTAGTCTTGTAGGCCCAATCATACTGGCTGCCACGGAGTCCGAAGGCCTTGGAAGGGGTGGTGATGTCCTCGATCTGGCCGGAGTTGGCAATACCAGCTTCGACGACGAGAACGCGAACACTGGGGTTCTCGGAAAGGCGACCAGCAATAGCATTGCCAGCGGTGCCACCTCCGACGACGATGAAGTCG